GGGGTGGTGGAGACCCTAAAGACTGCCCTGGAGATGCTCAAACATTAGGGTCCTCTAGCGAGCTTGCAAAGACAGCCCCCTGGGTTCTGATCCAATAATCTCCTTTTTAACCAGCACCCTCGGCAACTCTGAGACCAGCAGGGCTCAGACCACCCCTGAGAAATGCTCTGCTACAGCTCATGAATGTCCCACTTCAAGAGGAGCAACGAAGCCCACGTTTCAGGGGCGGCTCTTACTTCTGACACCAACAAGAAGGCCGGATCTGAAGGGGACACCCTCAGCCCCTTACAGTCCTTTGGTTTGGGGGGTAACCTGTAGCTCAAAGTTTAAAAAAACAAATGAGAAATAACTACCATGTTTTTTTTTATTATTATTAAAGTACAACATCTAAATGTCTTATCCCATATTCTGCCCTGAGATTCAGTTCCCTCTCCCACCCAGCTAAAACCTCTGAACATCCAGGGCTGGAATTGCCCGATCCGTCAATAAGGTAAGAGTTTTCTAAACTACTATCCTTATGACTCAATTTGTCAGTAAAAACTGCCACCAGCGCTGTGCTTGCAGAAAAATGTCCATAAATGCATTATTGCGACTGGCAGATCGATGTCTATAATAAAAACAAATGGATTTAACAAGTGCTGGCTTTTACGAGTCGTGCCATTGGTGGACCGCGCATTCAGTTTCACCCTAGACTTCTGGGAACGGGCAGCAGAGCCTGGCTGATCCTCTGCTGACTTCACAAGTGTTCCAGGTAGGAAATTATTACAACAAGAAAATTTTCCAAGTAGGAGAGCAAGCACGCTAGGCATTTACTGCTCTCTCACAACTCCTCTCACGGCCACACACACACATGACAACACGTTTAACAACACTAAGAAAATGTTTCTGCAGAATTTTTAACTGGGTTTATCACAGCTGTATCACAGGCCACATGAGTTTACTCCAGGTTGGGGAGATGGCGTATACCAGGGGGACATGAAGCCTGGAGATTCCCACTCCTCTGCTAGGCCTTCAGTCTAACTAAAAACAGCTTGCGGCATCAGAAACAAGTGCCGCATTTAGCACATGGCCAAGGATGTCACAGGCTTTCTAGGTGGCCTGAGTAGAAAAGAACCTGCCTACCAATGCAGGAGACATAAGAGGCACAGGTTCAATCCCTAGGTTGGGAAGATCCCCTGGAGCAGGAAATGGCAACCTGCTCTTGCCTGAAGAATCCCACAGACAGAGGAGCCTGGCAGGCTCCAGTCCATGGGGTTTCAAAGAGTCAGACACGACTGAAGTGACTTAGTGTGTGTGCGTGCGCACCCACACACACGGATGTCACTGCTGTGTCAGTGGCCCCTGGGGCAGCCTATGTGTTTAGATGTTCAGCTGGAGCAGACATCATGAGGGCGGCAGCCACAGGCTGGCTTAACTGCCAAGGATTCCGAGCACTTTGACATGACACTGCGGCCCATTTATATGTGAGAGCCAAGACTGCCAAAACCACTCTGGTTCCTCCACAGGTTACAAAAGGTCACAAAAATGCTTCGTTCCTTTCCTTAAGCGATTCACTTTAACAGTGATATAAAGGAGTAAGACAGTCACTGGATCCCATATATTCTTGATGTGGCTTTCACCAAACCTTACAACCCTCCTATATAGTAGGTCTAAGTGTTGCAGTCCATGGGGTTGCAAACAATTGGATATGACCTTGTGACTGAACAACACTGTCATTTTAAGAAAGTTTAAAAGGAAACTAGACTATTTCTTCCCACTGACCAGCAGATAAGCAGCAGTCACCTAAATGCCGCAGAACACACATCTCGCAGTCTTTTGTCTCGGACAGTGGATGTCAAACGTTCATCTACAGAAGCCGAATACAAGGTTTCCCTGGTGGCTCAGTGGTAAAGAATCCACCTGCCAATGCAGGAGACACAGGTTCGATCCCCAGATTGGGAAAAGTCCTAGAGAAGGAAACAGCAACCCACTCTAGTATTCTTGCCTGGGAAATCCCATGGACAGAGGAGGCTGGCGGGCTACAGTCCATGGGGTCACAAAGAGTCAGACACAACTTAGTGACTAAACAATATGTCCAAGTCAGGCCTCCAGAGCTAACGGAATGGGAAAACTGATGTCAAAGAAGTGAAAACTAGCCACCCCGCATAGCTCAAACCTCCTTCCCTCACCCAGATAAACCACGAACACTTTCAGACCAAGGATGGGCACTGGCTTGGTTCATTTACCATGAGTATATATGAAAAGGTCACATTCCTCCAATGGTAACACTGGGTTGGCCAACAAGCTCATTTGAACATTTTTTTGGTCAACCCAATATTATATGTTTATATATCTCTGATTTTTAAATCTTCAGGTTTCATTTAAGTGATAATCTATGGTAAGACCCAAGCTCGTTCATCAAACAGTTGTGTCGGAAACTACGCAGGAAACAGGGGGTCACAGCGGACTGTGACAGGAGCCATAGGAGCCCTAGACACAAGCCTCAAGCACCCAGAGGTCCCACACGATGTCAGAAGCCTCAGCGAAAGTGGCCAGAAAAGAGGAACTTCACACTGGGGCCAGGAAGGCAGGCGGGGTCAGAGTGAAAACAAACCTGGCAATAACATTAACAGATCACTACTGGCAAAGTGAGTAGAAGTGAGAGTCACTCAGTCATGTGACCCCATGGACTACAGTCCATGGATTTCTCCAGGCCAGAACACTGGGGTGGGCAGCCTGTCCCTTCTCCAGGGGATCTTCCTGACCCAGGAATCGAACCGGGGTCTCCAGCACTGCAGGTGGATTCTTTACCAACCGAGCTATCAGGGAGGCCAGGAGAGGATTTACTGGCAAAGAGAATTCAGAAATCACTGCTCTGCTTCCTGCTTTTCCTACAAAGGAGAACATAAGCTGAAAACAGCATTGATGCCCCCCAAAAAGGGAGTTGAAATACAAGTGTTGGTTTGAATCACTGGCTTCTAAATGTTTGTCCTCTGCAAAATAAGAATAAAGACAATTTGAAAGTTTATTTAAAAATACTGAGGACTGTAAACTGTTTGGTGTTCCTGAGAAAGCAGGAGAAGAGGCCTGGAGGAGGAAGTCCAGAGGAATGCGCTTTCTCAGGCCTGCCTCCCCCTCCTCCCCCCAGGAAGGACAGAGGGCCCAGAGTGAGATACCCGTAGGGGAAACCGTGGAAGCGCAGGCCTGAGCGGAAGAGAAGGCCCAGGTGAGGCTCCACCGGTACTCAAGCAAGACCAACACAGACAGAAAAAAAAGGTTTAAGAACCTTTGCAGCTGAACAAGAGTAAGACATTAAACATTGTCCACACCTGGGGATTTTATTTCTTTAAACCTGGATCTCCAACAGTGAGGACTTTTAAAAGCAGCATCTAGTAACACTAGTTAGGTCTAGTTTGTGTGATACAGATTTGTTTTAATGAAAAGAATGCTCACCAAGAAAAGTACCTTCATATAGCTCTGCCCTTGAGGCCTGCTTTACCCTGCCCCCAGACTATAAGAGACATGACTCTCCCACTCAAATCCTAACTCAAACCAAGAATCCAAGGAGAAATGAAATGCCTCCCAGAGCCAGGCCAGCTCTCCTCGTGGGCTCTGGACCTCAGCAAGTGTGGACCTGGCGTCACTGCCTCCTGGGACAAGATGAGTTAACAGGTTATCAACCACCAGCTGGGGGTGGGAGGCGGCAGCTCTGACATCCTTTTCCTAAAGACAATCACCCTCAAGTCGTGCTAAGCTTTGTGATGTCTTTTCTACCTCCCTGAGTGTTTTCTGCACTGGGGGACTCATGAGAGCAACTCAGCCCCCGCCCACCATCACGTCCTGGGCAGGGAGATGAAGAGGAGCGCCTAGCTGAGATACTCTGAGTGAAGGCACAGAGTTCAAGGCCAGTCTGATCCTTAGCTCTTTATGTTCAACACCTCCATGTTCTTCCGCAAATAGCAGCAAAGACCCTTCTCTGGACAAACGAGTCTCCCTCTGCCCGGTGACCATCCACGCAATCAAGCCAAAGCTGTGCTCACATATACAAAACGTGCTTCCGGAACAGTCAGCCAGGAGCTGAGACACAGAGAGAAACACCACGCTGAGATTCATCATGAGCCCAGGGAGTGAGGAATCCAGTTGAGAACTGCTCTCCTATGTTTATCTCGTCCTCGGGAACTACCGTGCCCAGGGTACCTGGCTCTCAAACTTCCACTTGGTCACTCCACGTGTCAGTGTTTGCAGACGCAAGGAGGGCACGGTGTATACCAAGGCGGACCCTCCTCTCACACCAAGGAACAGGACGTGAGGCCTCTGCACGGGCGGTCTGCTAAGGGCTCCTGCAAGGAGGGCCAGAGAAGGGGCTCCTGGAAGCTTCCTGGGAACAGAAGGCTGGGGAGCAGTGCAGAGCAGGAGGGCTTTGCAGGTGTTAACCAACTAGACGTTTGGCAGGAGCAGCACAACTCCCAGGCCAGGCCACTGTCATTCTACTTGGAAGAACCCAGGCTGGGAACCCCTGGGCACACCTGGTCGCTCCTGGGGCCAGCAAGGGGCGGCTGGGGGTCCGAGCGGGCCCCACCACCATGGCAAGGGGGGCGGGGGGAGGGCCCGGAGGACCACTGGGGGCTGGGCTGCCCCACGGGCTGCAGACGCCTGCTCTCCCCGGGGAGAGCCCCGAACTTTGGCGGGAGGTGACCCAGACAACTCACCGCGCTGCCTAAGCCGCCAACCGCAAGAAGCTCGGAGCGCAGGATCACGCAGCGCCGTGGGAGCGCGGGAAGCCCGGGGGACGGGCGCGGGGCGGGGCCGGGGGCGGGGCCGAGGTCTGGGGGCGGGGCCTGGCAGTGTGCTGGGGCCCGCGAGAGCCGGGATTCGGCGGAAGTGCGGCGAGGACGCGGTGGGGCGGGACCAGGCCGAGGCTGGGGGAGTGGCCCAGGTCGGGGGCGGGGCCTGGGCGCCTTGGCCGCCGGATGGAACGCGCGCGGCAGCGGGGGCGGGACCTGGGCGGACAGGGGCGGGGCCTAGAGTGATGGGCCGGGGGCGAGGGTGGGTCCCGCCTCCCCGCCGGCGCGCGCCTTGCCAAATCGGAGCATGCGCAATGCGGCGGCGGTGTCTGGGCCGACGTCCCGCTCTGCGCAGGCTCGCTGGCCGGGTGGCGCCGCCTGGCCAGGTTCAAGCTGGCTGCCAGGCCGGCTCCATCCTCGCTGCCGGGGCCTCGCGATCACTTTGCTGGTTCTTCCTACCCGACAAGAGCTGGGCCGCAGCGCCTTCCCGCCTGTGCCCCCTGGGTGCTGTCTCAATTCCTGCGGGGTAGGAAGGACCAGCAACGTGAAGCACGTTTGCTGTTTGTTCTGGTTTTTTTCTGTTAGCTCACTGTGCAACTTTAGGACGTTTTTTCAGCTTCTCTAATCCTCGAAGTCATCATCTGTGGGGCTTCTCTGGTGGCTTAGTCGATAAAGACTCCACCTGATATGCAGGAGATATGGGCTCGACCCCTGGGTCGGGAAGATCCGCTGGAGGAGGAAATGGCAACCCACTCCAGTATGCTTACCTGGAAAAATCCCATGGACAAAAGAAGAGGAGCCTGGTGAGTTACAGTCCATAGGGTGGCAAGAGTTGGACACGACTTAGAGGATCTTTGTAATAATCCTCTGTATGTAGGCATGCACATGGGGCTAATAAACATCAGGGACAAGAATACACCAGTTTTCCTATAATGTGTACCTACCAGGACCCAATCAGACCTGGGATCCCAACAGAACTGAAGAAGGAAATAACACAAAAGTTGGATCAAGATGCTTACCAACATCCTGACAAGTGTACTGTGATGTAGTTGGACAGTTCATACATGTATCCTACTTTTCTTTTTATCTGAATAGTATTTTAATATGAATTCCTAAGCCATTATCAGCCTCTCTGATTCCCACCCCAGGAAAGAGAGACCATCTTGGTGCCTGTTTTAAGTGGATTATGTGGCGTCGGGGAAGACAGGTGAGAAAGAGTGAGAGGAGGGCAGCATCCAGGGGTCAAGCGGGCACCTGGCTATGCTCAGCAGGACCCCCTCCTGGGGAGGCTGAGAGATGCTCCAGCCTCCTGGGGGGGGGGGGCGCACTCCAGGGGCAGAAACCAAGGGAGGACACAGGAAAGGCCACCACCAAGGACTGGTCCTGCCAGAGACTAAGACTATCTAGAATGTGACTCTCCCCTGAGCAGAACTACAGTTGCATTCCCTGTACTTACTGGTAAGTTCTTTTCCTTCTTGGTGGTAATTTTCAAAAACTCAAATCGTTGTTTTCAAAAGTTCCCCTCCGTCTCATGCCCTTGTCCCATCACACCTGATCCTCATCTACAAGCACAAGGATGGCTCCCAATCAGGGAGCTAGCCTACTGTGTGAGGTTCACAGGGTCGGGAGATGCAGAATGCCGTCTCGCTATGCAGGCCACTTGATCTCGCTGTAGGATGACAGCATTGCACAGCTGGGTGAGGTTCCTTTGAGCTTTGCCATCCTCAGATCAATAAATCATACCCATTCTTCTCTGGACACGGGTTCCCATGAATAACTTTTTACAAAAGAGGTGGAAACCCCGGAAGCCTTCGCTCACCTTCACTCTGATTTCTTCACAAACCTCCTGGGATGTCCTTTACCATAAGCCGGCTTTCTTGTGGGCACTGGGAACAGTGTTCATTTGAATCATTTCTTTAAACATACAAATGGATACTGGGTTAAACAAATGAACACGGCATGTGATTGCTTCCAATGATTTGCAACCCAAGAAATTTGTTTAATAAGCCTCTCTTTCCAAGCTGCTTTGTGACATTAGAGACCATTTACAACAAAGCTGTCTTCAGTAGTCAAACTTAATCCTTACTACCCTGCCTTTGGGAAAAGAAGGGATTTTATAACGATCACTTAAAACCTTGTGTGGTTTGAAAGCCCTGAACTTGGACAAACGTGTGAAAAGTCTTGGAACAAAAGAAACATTACAGAGCTCACCACTCGCCACTTTGTTTTACATAAGGTTTTCTTTAGGACCGGTCTCCAATTGAGAGCTTCGCCTATTAACACAATTGATTTTCTCAGCCCCAGTGTTCTATAAAGGTTGGAGCCAAAAGCTGGCCAGAGTCAGCATCCTGGACCTGGGCGATGTGGTCAACCAGCCCGAGAGGACAAGAGCACAGGGCGTCCTGGAGGTGGGGTGGGGGAAGGAGACCCTCGGGACCTGGGAGTGGGCTCTGGTTGTCTCTGCTTACACTCTGCTCTGCCCTCGGGCTCAGCACTGCTGGAGCCAGTGTGGTGTGGACGCAGCACAGGAAGTCTTCTAAGAGGGGGAGGGGCCTTGGGCTCCATCCTTCTGCAGGGGGAGGGGAGCAGGTGGAAGAAGGCAGGTGAAGCCTTACTTGGAAGGTTCCACACGCTCAGCTCCTGCATTCCTACAAAGAGGCGAAAAGTCCTTCTGCCCAGGGGCCCCTCGGTGCTTCTGTTGACATCTGGAACTGCTTCAGGCTCACCTTGGGTTCGGGAGGGCTCTTCCAGAGGCGGCAGGAGGCCTCTGTTCAGGACTCCTGAGACCTGTGTCAGCTGGCCTGTTTGCTGCAGGGCTGAAGATGCTGGGTCTAATGGGATGACCCCCACGCGCACACAGCTGAGTGGTGCAGAAGATGCGGAAATGGGGTTTGCAATCTGGAACGGCGGTGGGACGGCAGGACAAGGCCCCTCCCTGCATCAAAGATCCCTTGCGTGCCTGGCCCTGAGCAGTGAGTGGCCCCACGTGGAGCAGACCCGATGAACCGCCAGGGTACCTGCTGGGGTTGAAGGCTTGATGTAAGGAAAGGCCTGGAAGACTGTGAGTGGCAACATTTTCATTGCCCCCAACCCCACCCCACACACACACACAGGTGAAGGACCGCTGTTTTTTGCAGACTTTGGATCCAGTTATCCAGTAATTGTTGTACAGAGAACATCTGAATCTTACATACCCTTCCTTCCAAAACGTGGTGACTTTAGGTGATTATATATGTAAATGAGTGAATACAAGTCAGCTCTTCCTGACTTGTATTTAGGAAGAATATATTTGCATAAGTTGCTTAAAGAACCACTTCTGCCAATGTGAACACTGGGGGGAGTTTTCCCACCCTGAGTTGGCCATCCGGGTGTGGGTCACTGAGGACCTGGAATTTTGTTAGATGCTGGCCCTTTTGAAAGCAGCTCCTTCACTCATTACAAAGTGTTTTTGATCCATTTTCGGGTAGGGCTCTGTTGGTAACACATTGTTGGCAGTTTGGGCAGAATCTTTTAAGTGGTGTGAAGTGCTGGGGAGTATGCACCTCTGCCCTTCTGGGATGAGCCGGACGTGCCTGGGCTTTTGTGACTTGGAAATTAAACCCAGAGACATGGGGATTCTGATGCTGAGATTGTGACTTGTCCTCGTTCTCGTCTTCCTGGGAAATTGCAAAGCAGAATGCAGACAGGAACACCAGCCACACTCAAAATATTAATCTGAAGAAGGAAAAGTGGTGTCTTCCCCCTGAGGGGAATGTCTTCAATCTGTCTCCAGTGCACTGAGCTATGGATTTAAAGTGCTGTGCTTAGTCACTCAGTTGTGTCCAACTCCTTGCGACCCCATGGACAGTAGCCCGCCAGGCACCTCTGTCCATGGGGATTCTCCAGGCAAGAGTACTGGAGTTGATTGCCATGCCCCCCTCCAGGGGATCTTTCCAACTCAGGGATCAAACCCAGGTCTCTGGCATTGCAGGCAGATTCTTTGCCATCAGAGCCACGAGGGAAGCCCACTGATATAAAGTAACCCTAGGGAAAGATGGAAAGAGAAATAACCACATGAAGGGCAAAACTGGTGGTGAGGATGGTGCAGGGGGCTCTCTGCCCAGTTGTCCCTTTATCTGCTAGCATGAGATGACCCAGATGAATCTGGGGAGTCAGGAATGACGAGAGTGAAGTCCTGGGAGTGGTCTCTCCTTCTGTCTCACCAGCAGTCCCTGGAGATGAAGCCCTCCTTGGTCCAGGAGGCCACTGGACAGGAAGAGACAGAGTTCTCATTCCTGGTGGGAAAGGGAGGAGAAGCTGGAGAGGGTCACTCCCCAGGGAGGGGCCTTTCCCAGTTGTCAGAGCTCTTTCTGATGCAACTGGGAAGCCATTTAATAAGCTATGGAAATAAAGGGCTTTTAAGAGGAGGTCAGCCAGTCCAGCTCAGAGAAGTGGAGAAGGGAGGGCTTCAGGGCAACAGAGAGGCCAGCTTTCCTCTCCTCTTCAGCTCCAGGCATGACCCTCATCTCTACCTTGACCTCAGCACTACCTCCTTTCAGCTCTGCTTCCTTAGAGATGAAACAAATTCCCTCTCCCAGCTTCCCCTGGGGGGAAAAAGAAAATCACAGGGAAGGGCTCTGATTGGCCCAACACAGGTGACTCTGACACATTCTGGACCAATCACAGCAGCTGGGGGGAGGAGGTGCCATCCCAGGGGACACGTGAGCCTGTGTGGCCAGGAGAACAGATGTGATGAGGGCGGGATCGCCGAGAGGTAGGGAGCCACCGTGCTCGTACCCTGCCTGCTCACGGGGATGGGCCACCTACTGTGTGCCCGGTCCTGGCACATCAGCTCACATGCTCTCTCTCCAGTCGTCACAGCTTTCCATCACTGTCTGTGGGTGGCTGGGGCAGCCAGGGCGGCAAGAGGGGAGGTGCTGGGCTTCCTACGGCCCCTTTTCCTCCTGAGGAGTAGAGGTGTTCTCTGCCACCGATAAGTGCCCAGGTGGGCTTGACTTTGTGTAGTGGCATCTCCTACAAAGTCTGTGGACTAGGGGACCTTTTTCACCTGGCTCATGAATGAAGACCACTTGGTGCCAGCCCAGGGTGCTATCCTAGAGTTGAACCCCCACCACTCAAGGAAGGCCAAGCAAAGCATTGCCAAATGGTGCCTAAATTCGTCTAAGATGAGGTGCCTTCATCTTAGGGATTATCTTCAATAGCACTTTATTGGATTCATTAAATTATTTAAGTGCTAGAAAGATAAGATTCAGAAATTAATTCAATAGTAATAGCTGAATATTATCAATGGCTTATTAGGTAACAGTCCCTGGGCTGGGTCTTTGATGCTCATCATCTTTTTGAATCCTCACAATAACCATATAGGGTAGATAGTATAGATAGTTATCATTATCACAGTTTTGGAAATGAGGAAACAGAATGGTTGAATAATTTGCCAAGGCCACACAGCAGTGAGTGTTAGTATTGTTTACATCCTGGTTTACTGTGTCTTTGACTTGCGGAAGCAGTACCAGAATGGGAACTGTGTCCACTAAGTTTCATGGGGGGACATTCCTGGCTCTCTGCTTCAAGCTCTGCTGTCTCCACTGTATGTGGCAAATCTCCCATCAGACAGCCTATTGGACCTCTCAGATTCTTGCCTGGGTTCAGTTAATTGCTACTGGGCAACAAGAAGGGACCAGGTGACTTGGCCCTCTTTGCTAGGAAGGAATCATATCAAGATTAAAAAAAAAAAAAGGGGGGCCCAGACCACACTGTTGAACTCTTGGATCCAGCCAGATCTGAAGGTAGCCACCCTTGGACTTTTTTGTGTGACAGTGAATTCTTTTGTTTGAATAGGCAAATTTGTGTTGTGTTTCTGTCATTTGTAACCACAAGTCTTGGCTGTTATAAGACTCAAGCATCCTGCAGATGCTGCACTACCTATTCTTACGTGTGTTATCCTTTTAAGAACTAACAAGTTTGTGAGACAGACATCATTACATTTATTTTATAGTGAAGAAACTGAGGCTTTCAGAGGTCAAGTTACTTGTCCAAAGCCACTCAGATATGAAATGGCAGAGGTGCAGCTTGCACAGAGTTATTGATCCTCCAAGGATTAAAATTATTAAGAATTTTCCCAATTCTTAAGAATGTGGGATGGTGGAAAGGAGGAAAAAGTAAAGAGGAGAGAGGGGGGAGGGAGGAAGTGAGGAAGAGAGAAAGAAACAGAGAAAGGGCTCTGTTAGCATTTTTGAACTGAGGAATTTAAAATCTTTTGGTGGCAAGTTATGATGGTGTATTTCTAAGGCTTAGGAATTTTATCCTGCTATTTGTTCTTCAAATAAAAGAATCAGAGTCACTGACTTAGTTTAAACCAACTCCAAAGACTGCAGAGTTGACTCCTGATTAAAAACTTGTCTTTCTTAGTCGGAGAGAGGAAGAGCAGATATGACTTCCCTGAATGTGTTGCATCTTGCAAATTTGCTTTTCATTTGTAGCACTTGAGAATGTCGATGATTGGAAACATGAAACTTGATTATTAACAAGCTAGAAATAGTAACTGAATATTCACTCTGCCATCTACCGTGCCTGTATGATAAAAAATAAATTGGAAGACATTTAAACATGACTTTAAAGGTGATTCTGGAATCATTAGTCTTGCAGTTTTTTTTTGCTCCATACTAGGGAGTCCGGGCCTTCTCAGGAGGCGCTAGTGGTAAAGAATCTGCCTATCCATGCAGGAGACTTAAGAGACAAAGGTTTGATCCCTGGGTAGGGAAGAGCCCCTGGAGGAAGAAATGGCTACCCGCTGCAGTATTCTTACTTGGAGAATCCCATGGACAGAGGAGCCTGGTGGGCTACAGCCCATAGCGTTGCAAAGAGTCGGACAAGACTGAAGAGACTTAGCATGACACTGCGCATGAAGGAGTCCATGGGCTAATTCTCAAGTACACCGGGCTCCTAGGTTAATGGGCTCTCTGGATGCTAGGAAATCAACCCTGAATATTCATTGGAAGAACTGATGCTGAAGCTCCAATACTTTGGCCACCTGATGTGACACAGCTTAGTGACTGAACAACAATATATGTGTCCGGGCCAGAGATCCAAATGTCAATAAGACCAGTTAGGTCTAGTTGCAGGAATAATCACACTGCGGTCTGATGTCTGCAAAGAGAAGCTTGCATCATGTGCCAGGGCCCCGGGAGCAGGGGGCAGGGAGGCTGCTGGTGACACTTCACAAAGACCTGGCCCTCCAAAAAGGGCACTTTTGGTGAGATGCAGAAGAGACTTCTGGGTACCAGGCCTGGAGTCAGGGGAGAGAGGAAAACTGGCCCTTGAAATAATTACAAGAAAAATCGACGCCTGATATGAAAGCACTTTGAACAGCTGTCACTGTGTCATCCCACTCAGACGCAGGAAGTCAGGGACTGAAGCCCCTGGTGCAGTTCGGGGAGTATTGTAGTGGGCAGTCCCACTCACACTACACATTCGATTGCAGACCCTCAGTGAGTCAGGTATTAGGATCTCCATTTTACAGACAGTAAGACTGAGGCTTTGTGCAGGTGAGGAACCTGGAGAGGGCAGCAGGCCAGGAAAAGCAGGAAGCTGGGGTGAACACCAGGGTCTCCTCTCTGGAGCCATCCTGGGGAACGAGACAGCTACTTTCTTATGCCACCAGAGCAAACTAAGGAATTCAATCATTTAAAGGTTATTTTTGGTTCTTTATCAAACACAAGTGGAAATCTCTGTTGACAGAGTTTGGCTCAAAGGAAGCTATAGTTCATCAGTTCCAATCACTGGACATGAATCCAGAGACCACCTGAAAAGGCTGGGTGTGGCCGTAGACCCTGGTTGGGGAGCGGGAGAACATACCTAGAA